CACCCCCACTACCCACCCCACCACCACCCACCCCACCACCACCACCACCACCACCACCACCACCCACTCCACCTCCACGACCCCCACCACCACCACCATCCACCACCACCACCCATCCCACCATCACCACCCACCCCCCTCCACCACCACCCCCACCACCACCCCCCCACCACCACCACCACCACCACCCACCCCACCACCCACCACCACCACCACCCACCACCACCACGTACCCCACCACCCAACCCCCCACCCACCCCACCCCCCCTACACCACCACCCCACCACCCACCCCACCACCACCTACCCCACCACCACCACTCATCCCACCACCCACCCCACCACTACCACTACCCACCCCACCACTACCACCACCCACCCCACCACCCACCGTAAAACCACCTCCCACCCAACCACCATGCACCCCACCACCCACCCCACCACCACCACCCACCCCACCACCACCACCCACAACGTCGTGTGGGAGGCCCTCGCCCAGCAGCAGATTGACGAAATGGCCGAGCTGTTAGTGCGCATTTCAAAAGCAAAAATAAAAACGACTGTTAAAATATAAAACGGAATGGGGTTAAGATGCACACGGCTGGGGTGGTGGGGGGGAGCGGCTAATCTCGTCAACTCGTGCTGTTTCCCCCCCCAGACCGAGCCGCGAGTTGCGTGCAACAACGCCACTCTCTCGGTCTTCCTTCGTTTCCAGCGACAACGACGACATGGAACGTCTTACTTTCCGTCGACGGAGCGAGAGCCAGACGCACGTAAACGAGCAGCCGCTTACGGAGCGGGGAAACTCGAAGGAAATATTTCGAGGCGGCGTTCACTGCGCCGCCGCTGATTAACGCGACGTTCGTTCGCGCAACGGGGTTAGAGGTGTGCTCAAAGTCGAGACACTTTGCATCATGTTAGTCTTGCCGTCTTTTGGCAAATCCACTGCCGGATGAAGTCCTGCCGACGCCGTCGTGGAGATTGCTTGACCATGCTTCACCACGGCTAACGTCGCCACTGATGTTAGCCGTGCAGGGAATGGAACTGGGGGTCGCGGTGGTGCACAGCGGATCAGAGCGAGGACGACTGCGTCCCCGCATGGAGCTCGAACACGGCTGAGCTTCATGAGCGGCGGAGTCCCCCTGTGTGCGCGTGTGTGGGTTGTGTGTGAGGTCGACTCAGCCTCAAATGAGTCCCTGGTGCGGTGTGTAAAAACATCGCCACTGGGGAGACAAAGGCGGCCGGGCGTGGTTCTGGCCACCCCACCCCCCCCCCTCCCCTCGTGTGCCGTTCTGGCCTTCATAGGTGCTGCTCGCTAACAGCACCTGTCCCAACAGTTTATGACAGTCTATACGGGGAATCTTTGTCTTTGTGTGGGTGTGTTACAAGTATTCCAGTGTTCTCTTGTGTTTAAAAACATGTACATACGTAAACAATATCTCATTAGCCCCACATACTTAGCAGGAGCATCCTGACAACATATTTGAATTATCATAGTTATTGTTGTAGTTATTATTATTATTATCGTGCTGGATAATATATATCACTGCATCTGAAGCTCCAACAGTTTGCTTTTCACGGGCCACAGAAACTAAGAAGACTGCCGGCACCACTGGCGGAGCTTGGGGGGGGGTGGGGAGTGGCACGTGCCCCCCCAATGCTCCGATCGGAATCCCTAATTTCGATCGGATCATTGGGGTTTATTCGTAATAAATCGGCATTTTGTGACCCCCACTGCCACTGTGTAGCATATTATTACGTGCCAGGGACTCTATGAGATGATAGCAAAATAGTCTGAGTCCATAATTGTCAACAAGTAACGGCAAAGCGGTTATAAGTGACTCACAGAATTGTGCGCAGTTGCGTCTACAACAGCACACGACTTCCCCCGAAGGCATCGACACCTCCAGCGAGCGCGATGCCGATCACACAACGCGGTTCGCAATTCGACCCTCGATCGATGGCTGCGCCATCGCCGCACACGCGTCGAGTAACAAGCAAGGGACAAGTCCCTTTACTTACTAACAACTCCTTACTAACAACTCCTCTATCATTTATCATTGCTGGAGGGGTTGCCCCCCCCCCCTCCCCTACCTGAAAATCCTGGCTACGCCATTGGCCGGCACCCAACGGTGCCTACCGCGTGGCCGTGCCGCCAGCGCCACGAAAGGGGCCGTGAACGATCGCCGCGGCCCCGGCACTGTCGCTGCGTGTGTGGAAGGGGAGGGAGAGCAGGGCCGCATCAAGGCGTGGGGGCTTTAGTGGCTGCAGCCCAGGGGTCCTCCGCTAGCTTGAGGGCCTCCAGAGATGAAGTGAAAAGTTGTTTCATTTGCGAACGCTGAATTTAATTTGTTGTTAGCCTTGTAAAAAAATATATATATACATTTTTTTTATTTAACTTTGTTTCCCTTTTGAAAATATTACTGGGGGCCTCACGGTACCTGTAGCCCAGGGGGCCTACAAAATCTTAATCCGGCCCTGGAGGGGAAGGGGGGCGGTTGCTGTGGGGGGTGGGGGGAGGCACGGGAATAGTTCTGCTGTGTTGAAGCATCGCAGCGGTGATTCTGGACCGCGCCGCGCGCCGTTTGACGCAGACGTCTCGCTCTGCGTGCCGGGAGCTTCTTCGGAGGTGGAACGTTTTGTTGACCATCCGTCTGGGATGATCCGCCTGCCTTTTGCTCTCGTCAACTGGAAACCCCCCCCACACCCCCCACGAAGCACGCCTCCACCAGAGACGAACGTGCGAGAAATCCAAGCGACAGACTCTCGCTGTCACCTAAAGCGTGGCGCCAACGTGCCGCTTCAGCAAAGATTCTCGTTCAAAATCGGTCGACGCATTGGGGAGAGGGTGGGGGGGGGGGGAAGTCTGCGACGGCTGACGCTTCGGGCAATGGGCCTCCAGCGTGCATCGCTCGCGCGACGAACGAACGCCCGCTTGCTCGCTCACTCGCTCGCTCTCGGGACGCAGAGCTCCGTGTTAGGTGCGTTGTTTTTATTTCGCTGGCGCACCGCGGGTTATCCGCTGCCTTATTTGTTCGAAGCCGCCGAGAGAGAGAGAGAAAAAAACAATTTAGTCATCTTCCGTCACTGCAGCGAGTGATAAGCGGCCTCTGACCAAGCAGTGAGCTCAGCAACGGGAGCCGCTCCGGCAGTTTTGGTCCCGCAGGGAATTTAATCTCCGCCGCAGTGTTGCTTAATGTTTGAGAAAAAAAAATCTCTGATTTTCGTTGATAACCATCGCTGTTGTTCTTGCAGTATTAATAGGTTTGTAAAAAAAATGCGTTTATGTAATGGGCACGGCGCCAAAAGCCATTCCCGTGTAGGCGTTCGGGGCAACGGCCAGGAATGGTATTTCTTGTTTAACGTCGTCGCGGTGTTTGATGGCATCTGGACCACGGGACGAACCACTGCGGCCTGCGCTCCTCCTTCAACGGGGGAGTCGCGAAACGACACGAATTCTCGCTCTCTCGCTCGCTCGCTCGCTCCCCAAGCCCTCTCGTCACAGACGGCGTCAGACCTCCCTCGCGACATTGCCACCTCGCTACGGAGCAGCACGTCGCGGGCCTTGCGTGCGACTGGAGCGGCGTGCGTCGAATGTCGGCGCTGCTGCGGTCATCGTGCGCGTGTCCTTTCATTTGAACGCGACGCATTTCCACGCTACGTTGCGTTCTGTTGCGGGGGGGGTGGGGGAGAGGGGGTGTTAAGGGTCACGCAATTTTCACCTCGGCTGGCAATGTTGGTCACGCAAATCTAAATTTATATCAGGAAGGGGGGAGTGTTGATTTCACGGTGTGAGATGTAACAATTAGTCATCGTTGTGCAACGCGCGTTACAAATTAGGTGAGGTTAGTCGAAAATGTACCCTCACCTTTTGATTTTAAATAAATGTCTTTATTTTGTGGATGAGTAGCCTACTACATTGACACGTGATTCACAGTGAGTTTATTTTTGCGTTAGGTCGTCGTGTAAGCCAAACGTTACATTTTTAACTAAAACCGTCCAACACCCAACAGAGCATCCCGTGGGAAAATATTGGCGATAAAATTTGGGCTTTTCAGCAAAAGCGATTTATGACTCACCATATTGGTCGTGAAAGCCTAAAATATAACATTTAAACGTGTACACCTACGTATCTTTCTTTTTTTTCTGTTAGAATATTTGTACGCGTGTGCACATTCATGCACACGCAGAGGTGGAACGGCGACACTGAGGCCGGACCGATGAAACGAGGAACAGAATCGCCCCCCCCCCCTCCTCCGCCCGATATTCATTCTGAGCGACAATTCGAAAATGTTTTTGCTTCTTCATTCTGAACAATGGGGTTGGAGAAATAAATTAATGATACGAAATGTCTCTCCCTCTCTCTCTTTCTACGTGAGCCGCCTCCTGAGCACGGCCTTCCCTCCACTCAGCTCTGTCCGTGATGTTTACTCAATCAGGAAATTAAATAATAGCTTTTTTATAATGAGGTCGTCAAGTGGAGTTTAAGATGCATCGCAGACAAGAAAACAGCTCAACGATTGGCCGATGGTCGAGGCTAACGACAGAGCCAGCAGTCACAGGAGGGGAACTCGCCCGCAGGGGGATGGATCACTGCTGAGATGGAGCGGTGAAATCAGCTCCTCGTGTGCAGGATCTAGATGTGTGTATGTTGAACTTCTCTCGCACCGTACGTAGACAACCGAGCTAATCCGAAGTGTGGGGGAAGGACAGCAAACTAAACTGATGATAATGATGGTAGCAATGATGATGATGATGGTGGCGATGATGATGGTCGTGGCGATCATGATGATGATGATGATGGTAGCGATGATGATTGTGGTGATGATAATGATGGTGGTGGCGATGATGATGATGATGATTATGGTGGCGATGATGATGATGGTCGTGGCGATCGTGATGATAATGGTGGCGATAACGATTGTGGCGAGCATGATGATGATGATGATGGCGATGATGATTGTGGTGATGATAATGATGGTGGTGGCGATGTGTCTGCAGCATGGAGGGAGGAGAGTTGTTCAGCCGGATCCAAGATCGTGGCGACCAGGCGTTCACGGAGCGAGGTAAGCTACGCTACGTCAGCCGTGCCGTGGCACAGCGGTGCGTGCAATATGCTCCGAACCCAGCGACCCGAGTTCAAATCCCAGCCGCGGCTGACATCAGCGGCGAGCGATGTCCAAGCCGGTCCTGTGCGCCCTCTTCACCAATCCGCCCTGACCATTGCGGCGAAGTATGGTCAAACGACCGCCATCAAGCCCGACACGCAGTGGGGAGGCCTTCATCCAGCAGTGGATTGACAAAGGGCTGTAAAGAGATGCATGCATGCACGTTGGGATTTCTCTTCCGCACCAACCGACGAGCACGTTCGATTGCGTACGGCGCGAAAAAAGTTCCACATACACGCGTACATGTTGGCAATAATAACAATGGGATCTCGGTAGTAGTAGTAATAATGATAATCATTGTCGTTATAAGACATCAACAGCTCGCGCTGCGCCGTCTCTCGCCACAGAGGCCTCGGAGACGATGAGGGACATCGGGCAGGCCATCCTCTCGCTGCACTCCATGACATCGCTCACCGCGACGTCAAGGTGAGGGCAACCCCTGGCGGTGAGGGTGGGGAGGGAGAGATGAGCGGGGGGGCCCCGGATCGCCTATAGCGGGGGGGGGGGGGGGGTCGGCAAAACTTCCGAAGAAGAAGCAGAACCGTTATATTCTTAGCTCTTTCGGTAAAGTCACGTTGAAGGGAAACAATAAATAATAAAATATATATAAAACAATACAATTCTCACGTCATCAGGTGATGACGACCGTTTGTGTTATGGTCGAAAGATCATGATAATTTTTATTGTTTTATATATATTTTATTATTCTATTGTTTTCACCTTCAACGTGACTTTAACCGAAAGAGCTAAGAATATGAATCACTGCAGTCACGAAAGCTTTAAATCACAATTTAAGCAGGACCGTTGTTCCGTGTTTGTCTTCGTGCACAAACCCGGCAGGTCGATGACTAAAAACATTGTGACCGAAGTAAAACAAAGTCGGTGATGGAGTCGATTGAGTCGATTTCGTTACCCTCACCCCACCCTCGATCCGCTCAGTTATTCTGTAACAATGGAGTTTGACTTTTGTACATTTTGTCGTCACCAGACATTCCATACTGACCCATTCCCCTGCCATATTTAATCATTATCTTTACGTTAAATTACGTTTCAGATTAAGTTTATTTTTTTAATTAATAAAAAAAAAACGGGCCGCCCGCAAAGGGTTCTTCAGCCAAAGAGGCGGAACGGGGAAGCTGAAGATCCGTTGTTGTTGTTGTCGTCATTGTTGTTGTTGTTGTCGTCATTGTTGTTTGTCGTCGTTGTTGTTGTTGTTGTCGTCATTGTTGTTGTTGTTGTCGTCATTGTTGTTGTCGTCGTCGTTGTTGTTGTTGTCGACATTGTTGTTGTCGTCATTGTTGTCGTCATTGTTGTTGTTGTTGTCGTCATTGTTGTTGTCGTCGTTGTTGTTGTTGTCGTCATTGTTGTTGTTGTTGTCGTCATTGTTGTTGTCGTCGTCGTTGTTGTTGTTGTCGACATTGTTGTTGTCATCATTGTTGTTGTTGTCGTCATTGTTGTTGTTGTCGTCATTGTTGTTGTTGTCGTCATTGTTGTTGTTGTCGTCGTCATTGTTGTTGTCGTCGTCGTTGTGGTGGTGGTGGTGGCGAGCGAGCAGCCCGAGAACCTGCTGTACACAACGCGCCAGTCGGACGCCGTGCTGAAGCTCACCGACTTCGGCTTTGCCAAGGAGACTACCACCTTCGACTCGCTCAGCACGCCCTGCTAACACCCCCTACTACGTGGGTGCGTGGGGGGCGCCCCGGGGAATCCCACGTGGCTCTCGGCCTGGCACCCGCCACAGTGGCTAGGAGATGTTAACTACGTCGCCTGGTATACAGGAGGTCGTGGGTTCGATCCCGACCCTGACGCCTGCTGTATATTTGGAGTTTGCGTGTCTCTTTCTCTCTCTCTCTCTCTCTCCGCGTGGTCGCGTGGATTTTTCTCAGGGTCCTTCAGTTTAGAGTGAACGTGCGTTTAGATTATTTGGCTGCTACAAATGTCCACGTGATAAGCGACTTTCTTGATCTATCATTTGTGATAACCAGGTCGCTTCTGGAAAAGAGCTATATAGCTCAGTGGGCTTGACCTGTTAAACTTTTAATAGTTTAGTTCAGTTTATTGCAAGTATGGCAACAAACTATTTAAACTTTTTTTTACCAGGTTAAGGCCCACTGAGCTCTATCGCTCCTTTTCAGAAGCGAGCTGGCTATCACAAACGATAGCTCAACGTGGAGGGAAAAAAATGTGGAGGGAAAACCAGAGGACCCAGAGAAAAATCCACACGACCACGGGGAGAACATTCAAACTCCTGTATACCAGGCGAGGTCGTTAACATCTCGCCACCGTGGCAACCCCATACGGTCAGAGACACAGGTGGAAAGCGTTAACAATACCTTGCTGATCTCGTCAAGGAGCATTAACTATCATCACTCAAACTCCGGTCATCCTCGCAATGGCTTTGGCTGCTGGCCATCGGAAAAAAGACGGTCACCGCATCGCGCGCTTTCAGATGCGCCTCTGCGGCCGTTTGGAACGCTCTTCCTTCCGATATTAGGAATCCACTGGAGCTCATGCACTTTAAAATCATGTCGATAGAAAACTCATATCTTTAGAACTGCTTTTGCTGTTTAGTTTGTTGTCCTTACCCCGCACCTCCGATCAGCACGATTGGCTACGTACGGTGCGAAAGAAGTTCAGCATACGCACGTACGCTTGTTCGCATGCTCGCACACGCGTGTCACCGTCTCGCCGTGTGTTCCCCTCTCTCTGAGCGCAGCACCCGAGGTGCTGGGGCCTGAAAAGTACGACAAGTCGTGTGACATGTGGTCCCTCGGGGTCATCATGTACATCCTGTGAGTCCACGCTCTCTCTCTCTCTCCTGCTTGATCCCCGATTACCCAGGCCTCTCTCGCGAATGAGACTTCATCCTGAGTCTCTGGACTCAAGGGAGCCATCCGTGCACAGTATTTTGTGTACAAGCTGTCCTGTCCAATCTGCAAGTCTTCCCGGGACATTAAAAGCCCCGCGTGTTGTTAGTCGTGTAATTACGATGATGATGATAATAATAACATGATTCCAGGCAATGCATATTTTTTTAAAAGTGATTTGTTTACCTTTCCTATACTTTTCAATCCTATTGTGGTTTTGTATTGTTTGTGGTTATAACGTTCTGACCCGCCCCTACTGGACATCTGTGAAGAAGAGCTTTATAGCTCAACGGATTCCTCTTGCAGTATAAATACAGATTCAGCTTCTACATTCGCACGTAGGCCTCACCTTATTTCCGAACCGCGAGACATTCTTCTTCCGCGGTATGTCCCAGGTATCTTTCTGGACCTCCGAGGTGGCAATCGCCCCAAGTTACGACGGTAAATCCAACCGCCCCGTGACCTCTGACACCGCCCCCCCACGCCTCGGCTGCCCCCCCCCCCCCCCCTGCACAGGCTCTGCGGATTTCCTCCGTTCTACTCGAACCACGGACTCGCCATCTCTCCCGCATGAAGAAGCGAATCCGAATGGCCAGTACGAGTTCCCCAACCCCGAGTGGGCCGACGTCTCGGAGGAGGGTGAGTGGTGGGCGACCGCCGGGGGCCCCCCGCCCGGTCTTTTTTACGGGGAGGTCGAACCCGGTGACCTCCGGACTCCGAGGTTCGGGGTGCTCACCGTGTGAAGTCCTCCGAGCCGCGTCGCGACGTTGTTCCGCTTTGTCACCCGACAGCCAAACAGCTGATCCGCCAGCTGCTGAGGACCGATCCCACGCAGCGAATGACCATCGCCGAGTTCATGAACCACCCCTGGATCAACGTGAGCGCTCGCAACCGCACCGCGCCGAACCGCCCTAATGACATCATCGCGTTCGTTATCCCCGCGCTCGTCAAAGTAACCGAGTCGAAGTCGGTGGCGGCGACGGCGATCACCTTGGCACCGCGTCGGGCCACTCACGTGAGCCGTGTGTGCGCGTGCCCGGCAGCGCTGGATGGAGGTGCCGCCCACCCCGCTGCACACGAGCCGCGTGCTGCAGGAGGAGCGGGAGATGTGGGACGAGGTGAAGGTGAGCTGCGCCGTGACGTACCCATGCAGCGCACGCCCGCGGGCCACGCGTGCCGTTCGTGGGGGGTCATGAACTGAGGAATGAGGGGGTTGGGGTGGGGGTGGGGGGGGTCCGTGCCAGCCGTCCCCGTGAATCACGGTCGTGGGTGGCGATCATGGAGATCGCAAGCAGTCAAAAAGTGCGACGTATAAAATACCCTTCCTCGAATGTTCCCCTAACCCTAGCCCTAACACCCTCGTGTTCGGCTAACCCACGCAAGCCGTGCATGCCTGTGCGTGCGTGTGCGTGTGCGTGCCTGTGCGTGCGTGCCTGTGCGTGCCTGTGCGTGCGTGTGCGTGTCTTGTGCGTGCGTGTCTGTGCGTGTGCGTGTCTTGTGCGTGCGTGTCTGTGCGTGTGCGTGTCTGTGCGTGTGCGTGTCTTGTGCGTGCGTGTCTGTGCGTGTGCGTGTCTTGTGCGTGCGTGTCTGTGCGTGTGCGTGTCTGTGCGTGTGCGTGTCTTGTGCGTGGGTGTCTGTGCGTGTGCGTGTCTGTGCGTGCGTGTCTGTGCGTGTGCGTGCCCTCCAGGACGAGATGACGAGCGCGCTGGCGACGATGCGCGTCGACTATGAGCAGGTGCGCATCAAGCAGCTCGACGAGTCCAGCAACCCGCTGCTCAACAAGCGGCGCCGGCGGCGGCGCCGGCGCCACCGCGGGACGGGCGGTGGTCCCCACGACGACGACGACGACGAGGAGGAGGAGGAGGAGGAAGAGGAGGAGGCGGGGGGCGGCCGTGGGGAGGAGGAGGTCATCGCCGAGGAGGAGGCCACGCCGCAGGACATGTCCGTGAGCCTCTCCGAGGAGATGCTCGATGCCAGCGAGGGCCCCAACAACAACGCGGACGCTGTCCCCGCGGCATCCAGTGGTGGGGCGGCGTCTCTCCAGCCCTAACGACGGCCATCCCCCCTCTCCCCCCCCCCTCCTCTCTCTATCTCCCTCCGTCACCTCCGTCCCTCCCTCCCTCTCCTTCACTCGCTCGCCCTCTCCCTACCCGGCCCCTGCCGTTCTCTGTCGTCTCGCCGAGCCCGGGCGGTCGGCGTTTGGCGTCGCCCGCTGCGTTCCCATCACCGGCATCGCGCCAAGCACCGGTCGGGGTTAGACGCCGCCGAACGAGCACCCGAGGGGGCCCCACGGCCCGGCGATCGGACCTCCTCGCTCGAGACTTTCCGGGTCGTTGGGTAGCCACGGTCACACAGCGAGAGGCGTACTGGATGCGGCGTGCCGGGCGGGGGAAATATTCTCTGGGATTGGGTCGCTGACCCGGACAGACCCCAGATCCCGCCACCCCCGGCCTTGCTGGCGTGAATCCCTGCCCATGCCCCTTCGTACACAAGCAGCGTTGCAGACCACCCAGCTCCATCCTCGGCGCAGAATCCACGGCGACCGCGCGTGCAGCGGAGAGACTCGCGGCGACGACCGCCCGGCGACGAATCGACGCGGCGTGAGCCGTCGCTGCCCGGGGCTGCGATGAGACCACCAGCCTCCTAACCGAGGAATCGATCTCTGACACCGCCCCGACGGTGGACGCGATGGTGGAACAACACGGGGGAACTCCTGACGAGGCGCGTGTGGCGGAACGTCGAACTTCGTGCCGAAGTTCGACGAGCGCGGCACGACTCGAAAACGGCGGGGAGGCCGCATGGCACGACCGCGAGGATCGACGTGGCGGTTTTGAGATAGCGGGGGGAGGGTCACAAGCGTCGCTCACCGAAAGAATCCCAACGAAGCTGCTCGTAAAGTCATCATCGTCATCACTCAGCCATGGTCACTCCACTGTTGGATGAAGGCACCTCGAATGATCGCGTGTCCGGCCACCGGCAGCGCGGGCTCCTGGCTGCTGAGGTTTTTTGACCACCGGAATGGCCGCGTCCTTTTGAGCGAACCGCCGTGGGCGCGTCCTCTACTACGAAGCCGTGGCTGGAAACATCGCTGGACGTTCTGCCAAATGTGGCTCCAACGAGGATAATCCCGACACCTTTCATTGGCGTCGTAACAACATCGATGACGACGACGGTTTACAGAGCTTTTATCCACCCACCGCCCGCAATGAAGCTCTCTCATACGGACCGATTGTGGGGGTTGTCTGGACACATTTTGACCGCGCGCCGGTGAGTGTGTGGGCTGTCGGTGGGGTCGCTGGGTGTCCCGCGTGGGACCGGTCCTCGATGTATCAATCACCGCCGATGTTGGCCTAGGGCCTAGGCCAAGGATCGAGTTGAGGCCACCGAGTTGGGATCACGGCTCGCCGAGTTCCAATGGAGAGGCGAGCCCCGAGCCTCCCAGAGCGGTGGTGGTGAAGCGGCGAGTTGGAGCACTTCCACTTGCAGGCGCCACTGGGTTTGACCCCAGGCCGTGGCGAGTGATGTCTGAATCGGTTTCTGGACTCTCCCTCCCCCCCCCCCCCCACTCCGACTTCACCTTCCTCCACTGACCAGCGCGGTGAAGTATGGTTAAATAATCCCAATGACCAACACGTTATGGGGATTTACGAAGGCCTGTTAATAATATCAATAATTATTGTTATCATTGATGGCCCGCTGCTGTTCTAACACTGGCCACTGATTCTGCGACGGTTTGGCGCTGATGTCACGAAGGTTCCCCCCCCCCCCCCCCCCGCGTGTGAAGGCGGCCGGCGCAGTCTGTAGGTTTCACTTCACGCCACCACTTTGTACGCGATATTTTTTTGTTTCATTGTCACGGCGTTTTTAAGAATGGCACGCGGCGGTCGGCGTTAGTTTAACACGCAGCAGGCTCTTCTCGACCAATGTCATCCACAATACAGGTAAAAAAAAATAATGTTTTTGGGGTTAGATGGCGTAAATATAAATGTGTCGTCAAAGCCGCCACCACCCGACACGGCCAATTTAGTGGCGGTGGTGTTTTTGCCGCCGTGCGATTGCCCCTCGCTCGGGCTCGTAACGCGCGCAACGCTCTCTCACGTGTTGAACAAAATGCACTACGGAGCTCAGTTCGCAATGGTTGCACCCTCGGCATGGTGATCTCTAATTTTCGCATTTCATCGGGACATTTGACCCCAAGATCGGGCCACCGTCGGCGCACAGCTGCCAGGTGACGTCACACGTGTATTGGCAAGTAGACACGTGACGTCATCGCGGCATGTCCATTGATCAGAATGTAAGACGCAAAATTGTCCAGAACGTTTGAAACGCGTGCCCATTACATGCACTCGCACACTAAAACCTGAACTATTAAACTATTAAAACGACTATACTTTATTTTATTTTAACAGGTAAGGCCCGCTGAGCTGTGTAGCACTTTGTCAGAAGCGACCTGGCCACAAATGATCGCCCAATGAAGTGGCTTGTCACGCGGTACATTTACAGCAGCCAAATGCTCAACGCGTTCCTCAATAGCACTGTGACCTTGAACAGAGGCAGTATATTCTTGGCGACGTTTCAGGCAGTGTCCCTTATGCATAGCACACGAGCCCCCTGCGCTTCTTCGTAGCTCACGTACTCTGAAGACGGTCCCACTGCCTGAAACGTCGCCTGTCACATACGTTCCGTCGTAAATGCCGCGGCGTTCTTGACGACCGTGCTGAGTGTTCGTGTTGTTGTTGTTGTTTGTGCTTGTGCGCCAATGCAGCAGCGGTGGTAGCACATCATCAGATAATTTGATTACGCACTCGGCACGTGGCGACGCACGGATTCCGCGATCTAAACGGAACGTTCTGCTCACGAGGCGCGCGAGAGGAGATGGCCAGCAAAAACGTCGATTCACGCGTGTGCGGTGGGGTAAGGCGCCTTGGGACATTATTGGAAGGCTCCTTACATATAAATGTCAATTGTTATTGTTAAAGTGTGGGTACGCACTCAGACCTCTGCCGTGATGGTCAAATGCCCTGTCGAGTGGCTCTCTCTGAAGTTCGGCATTCATCAGCGACAGTGTTATCATTGAAACTTACCATATCTACAAGCAAAACTGCCGGCTTGTTTAATTTATGTTGCGTATCCTCTTAGAGGACGTTCGGTCGTGGTGGAGGAGTTGGCCAAAACACCCTCTAGAGGGCCCCACATCGGACGGACTGTTTAGAGAGCTGCCTCTTCGCGAATGCCCCTTCCACCAGCAGGGTGGCGCGAGTCGGCAATTGCAGGGCTGCGCCTCTGCCGGTAAATGATGATGACGTAAGAATATGGGGGAAGACATAAAAAAAGCCACCGACCTATTCTTGAATCCAAATGTGGCCCAGAATCGTGAATTTGTTTTCGTTGACTTGATAGAGGGCGGCGGTTGTGTGTGTGTGTGGGGGGGGGGGAACGTGGATCATTGCATCTCTAAGATGGACAATCGTATTAATGAACATTCGTAAACAAAAAGTTACATCGTACAAAATCATGTTCGTCAATGCTTGAGAAACAAAGTGCAACCCGGAAATTTCCTCGCCCGCAATTTTATTTTTTTGCTGCGTGTGCACTCGTGTTCATTTCTTTTTCCGTTCGGTCAAAAGTGGTTTTCCCTGCGGTTCATCCTTCCCACTTATGTAAAAAAAAAACACATTTCTCGAATGTTATGACCGCGGTAACTCTGCTGCTCGTGCAACAGCCACCGGCGGCAAAGCTCATTCGAGCTCGCGAGGCTACGCACGCGCGTGCCATGCCGGCATTCATAGAGGTGCTCGCTTAGCAGCACTTGCTCCCAAAACAGTCTGCTAAAGGCTACACGGGAGATGTTTGTCTCTCTTTCTGAACAAAGCAGAGGAGGTTCGCTGTCGGGGAGTCGGAGGCAGTCGCCCTCCAGCAGTAGCAGCGGAGGGCAGAGGAGCGACGCTCACAACAAGGAGCGGAGCGCCGGGCGGCTAAAACGCAGCAAGTTGGCACAGTGGGGAGCACAGGGTGGTGCATCGGCCAGACGTCTCAAGTCAGTCAACCCATTGCCACCTATGATCTGTTCCATCATCTCCTTGCCGGCAGCGAGCCTTCGACACTTTCACGCGTCCTCAAAGTGCACCTAGCATGACACGAGGGCCGTGGCGACGTCACCGCCACTTCGTGGTGAACGGGGGTTGTTGTTGTTGTTGTTGTCGTGGTGCGAACGCGCGCGCACGCATATGCGTTCAGATGATTTTATTATCACTGTCATCCTCTTTGTTAACTCGGACACTAAATTGTAGCCATTTTAAACTGAATAACAACAACGAAAATTTTTTGTGGTATTAAAATGCAAAGAAAACCCGGAATGTTGTTTTTCATTGACGTGTTGAGGAGGTGTGAAAAGGTGCGGCCGGAGGTACGGACGGATGTGTGCGTCACCCCACGTTTGCAAATGGAACGTTCCATATTGTAAGCAAGCCGCATTTGCCGACGGGGTAATTTTGGAATGGTATGGTCCACTCGCGGGCACGGGATGCCTGCACCCGAACTGATTGGAGCACCCCGCACCTCCGATTAGCACGGCTGGCCACGTACGGCGCGAAAGAAGTCCAACGTACACACGTGCATCCATCTGTCCGCCGCACATTGTCAGCGGAACAAGCAAAGGCGCGTCTCCGTGTCAGTCGGCGTGGAAGGAGTCGTCGAGACGAAACGTCAATTTCGAATTTCTCAAGAGAGGAGGACGGCCCCTCCGTGTCGCAGAACGGCGCGACTGGAAGCGAACACCGCAGAGCTACCTTGGAGAGATCCTTTTTCAAAGTGATCTCTGCTCCACGCACAACACTAGGGGGCATCGCGTCACCCGAAAGGAAGTTTGGCGTTCGCAGCCCCGGGACGGGCGGATACGCCGGACGGGACAGCCGCCGCGGAGATGGAGCCGCGACATCAGATGGATCGTGGTATCACGTGACCACGAGGGATGGCGACCGCGTGGAGAGGGGCAAGGGGGGGGGTGACCCTTCTTGCAGAACTGACGACGACATGGCTGTGTGTGTGTGATGTGTGTGTGTGATGTGTGTGATGTGTGTGTGATGTGTGTGATGTGTGTGATGTGTGTGTGTGATGTGTGTGATGTGTGTGATGTGTGTGATGTGTGTGTGATGTGTGTGATGTGTGTGTGATGTGTGTGATGTGTGTGTGATGTGTGTGATGTGTATGTGATGTGTGTGATATGTGTGTGATTGGTGATGTGTGTGTGTGTGATGTGTGTGTGATGTGTGTGATTGGTGATGTATGTGTGTGTGATGTGTGTGTGTGTGATGTGTGTGTGATGTGTGTGTGTGTGTGATGTGTGTGTGTGATGTGTTTATGACAACTAAATTCGGTGTGGTAGGGCGACAGATTTATCGTGCGATATGTGTTGCTGTTGACTCACACCCTGCTGTGGGTTATTCGTCAGCAAACATGCTGATGAACTTTCATGAACCTCCGTGGGAATTGAATGCCTGTCGGCTGAGAGAGACTGCTACACCGCTGCCCTCTCATCTCACTCCCCTCCACGACTCTCCTGCCTCTCCCCTCTCATCTCACTCCACTCCCCTCCACGACTCTCCTGCCTCTCCCCTCTCATCTCACTCCACTCCCCTCCACGCACTCTCCTATCTCTCCCCTCTCATCTCATTCCACTCCCCTCCACGACTCTCCTACCTCTCCCCTCTCATCTCACTCCACTCCCCTCCACGCAGTCTCCTGCCTCTCCCCTCTCATCTCACTCCACTCCCCTCCACGCACTCTCTTCCGTGCTCAACCTTTGCTCAGTGAGAGATCGCTCATTCTCCTCTGCTGTGCCCACTCGTTTAAATCTCCTTCCCCCAGCCATCCGCGCTGTCGACTCCCTGCACCTCTTCAAGTTCAGCTTCGAGAGCTTCGTCTCCTTCCGCCTGTGACTGCCCGCCCCTGCACAGCGCACGCAGAGCGAGTGACGCAGGAGGTAATCGCGCCGCACTGCGAACCACCTGGAGACGCCAGGGGCCGTCCATAAATGACGTCACGCGATTCTGGACGATTTTTTACGCCCCCCCCCCTCGTCACACGGCGTCACAAAAAGTCAGACCCCCCCTCAAATATGACGTCACAAAGCTCTGCCCCCCCCAAATATAAAACATGCTTCAAATCGCTTTAAACTATTGTCATTGTAGTGCGTATTTAATGTGGCGCTGCACTCTGATGTTGTAGGAGAAAACATTTATTTAAAAAAAGTCTATTTAATTAAATAGACCGTGTTGTCTATATTTATTTAAAGTTGCGCATTTTTACGTGACGTCACATTCTCAACCCCCTCACCCCCCTTCGTCACACATCGTGACAAATGTCTGACCCCCCCCCCCCAGGTGTGTGACGTCATTTATGGACGGTCCCCCACTTCGTTTCCCCCCCCCCCCCACCAACCCGCGCTTGCTGGACCCAGCTGTCCGCCGTAGCCGTTCGTCGTCTGTTAAGATGCGACCGCACTTAGACGGGATACACGAATCCTAACTGATTGTTCCTGCAAGGTTATTGCTGACAAATACCGAGGAGCACCGCTCGGCATGTTCGCACCGAGGAGGAGGAGGAGGAGTAGACGTGACAGAGAAGGTTTCGCTGCAGTGTTTATTGTGACGAGACGCTCAGCGCGAGCAGCAGCAACTTATCGTCATCATCATCATCATACCACTCTTGTCGGCGCGATTAAAACACCTCGTCGCAGTCAGCGCACGACAGAAAGAAATACAAAAATGAACATTAAATAAACTTAAATGATCACAACAGCGATTATTAATAAATCTATCAAATATATAATATTATAAATAAATAAATATATAAACATATTTGTTATGTTATAAATATATAATGCATCAAATATCTTTTTTTTAAATATATAAATACCTTCGTGGCAACTTGATCGAAATTTTAAACTTAAAAAGTTCAAGTAATACGTTTTACCATCGGCCCAAGACGTAATAAATAGCAACAATGTAGTTGATAAATAATAATTGTACTTAATTAATAGTAACAATGTAATTGATAAATAGTCACTTTATAAAAAAACATCGGCTCAAAACGTAATAAATAGTAACAATGTTACTGATAAATAGTCACTTTATAAAAAACATCGGCTCAAAACGTAATAAATAGTAACAATGTAATTGATAAATAGTCACTTTATTAAAAAACATCGGCTCAAAACGTAATAAATAATAACAATGTAATTGATAAATAGTAACTTTATGAAAAAAACATAGGCTCAAAACGTCATAGATAGTAACAATGTAATTGATAAATAGTAATTGTACTTAATAAATAGACAATACATAGGAATGTTTTTTTTAACAATTCACTTTGATTAAATATCGATCGACTGCAGCCCGTGTCGCGTCCGGGACAATACCTTAGGCACGTTACTAGGGGTGGGGGGGGGGGGTGCCACGTGACTGGGGGTGGGTGGGAGGGCTGTCACCTCGGACGCTGACAAAGAAAAAAGCACCCGGCACGAATCTCGCCAAAGTCATGAAAAAAGTTTCACGACCACCTCTCAAGCAGTGGGGGGGGGGGGGGGGGGGGGGGGGCACCACGCAACACCGCCACTTGCGATGTCCCGGTGGGAATGAGAGACTCGGCAGGACAGCTGCACCTCAAAAGAGGGGGCGATTCTGGTCTGACCAGAATGTAGCGGGAAACCTTCCACACGTCGCACGTGCCGAGTTAAACGCAGGCACAACGAGACGTATACTTGATGTGGTTCGCCGGGCGCGGACGCCTTTAGGATCGCACAGTCCTGGGTGTTGGCACAGCAGCAGCAGCGGCGACGGAGGGCGACTCACTGCAGGGACTTTCTGGGCCGCTTCTCTGCACCCTGCCGCTTCTTTCCGCCTCGCTGCTTCTTCGCTCCCGGCTTCCGCTTCCCGCCGCCGCCTCCGCGCCGACCGCCCGACGGCTTCTCGCGATCCGCGCGCTCCGTGCACGCGATGGGCAGCAGCTCCGTCTCTCTGAGCACCTTGCGGAGCATCGCCTCGTCCGAGGGAATCTGCGTCGACGGGGAAGAACACGCGGGCGGACACGGTGAGACCCTTGAGTATCCCCGCCACGCCGTTCGGCCAATTGCGGTGACGGACTGCAGGCAATTGACTGACCACGTAAGTCCTCTAGGACGCGTTCCCGTGTGCGCGTTGTTACTGCAGGGACTTGTAAAACTCACCTTGAGTTTGGCATCAGCGAGTCTTGCCATGATTTTCTTGAATGTGGCGTCCTGTTCGCTTTCCTGCGTCGTTCCCTGTTGATACAAAACCAAGAATCCAACGTCAGTGTCAAGTGTAACACAAACGTAAGCTCCCTCTCATTGAGCAGCTCCCTCGTGACTGGCCAGAAGCGGCGGTGAGAAGTTTCGGATCACTTCCTCCAGAGTCACAATTGGAGCATTGGCTGGCTTCCTCCAGAGTCACAATTGGAGCATTGGCTGGCACTGCCACTCATGAACAGGATAAATGTGAGCCAAGCAGTGCAAGATATCAAAATATTTAACTTCAATCCTTGAAGCACTCGCTTTGTTGCCTGATGGATTTGACTGACGCCTCCCGTAGGAATGTGAATTATCCACCACTGGCTCAGGATGGCCGAGGGAGATGGAATCCGTCGCTCAACATCCCACGTAAGTGGCCATCAAAGAGCTACCTCTGAGATCCCTTCCAGTTGAACTCTGGTCCACACACTGTGAGTCTGTGTGAGTGCGCGGTGTGGCTCTCTGGACTTACGCAGCTCGGCCGAGCGAAGCTGCTGAATGTACCGCGCTCCTTCCTCGCTTCCCCATTGCTCATGAAGCGCAGAGTTCCCGCTGCGTTGAAGGCGGCCACGTACAGCTCGGCCACTGCCTTGCGGAAGAGGCACACGCTGGCCTCGTCTTGCTTCAGCTGCGGGGGAGAGGTGGAGAGACGTGGTGAGCAACGTGACACTCATCAGGATGATGATGACTTTGATGACGATGTATTATTGATGGTGCATTGTTGAACACGGGCGAAGCCAAGCAATTGTCAATGCCAACGTACCACGTGGTGACGCATTTCATCCGTGTTGGGCAGGATCCTGAAGTTGCGCTGATCATCTGGAACCTGCACAGCACACGTGACAGCGCAGCGTTAGTTACACGAGCTGTGGTACTGCGAGTATGTGTGCTGTGGAGTGCATGCGCTGTACCATACAGGCTGACTGATTGTTCACATAACTCATGCAGAAAAAGAGGCAATTAACCGATATCTGCAGGAGGTAATTGGGGGAGCGGTGGCAATTGCTGCTCGGCTAAGTCGCGATTCTGGCGGTGCGCGCTCGGGTGTCG